ATCCAAGACCCCACCCAAGTTGAGAGTCAGAGCACTTGGATCTCTCAAGTTGCCTGCTTGGCCCTTTCCAACAGTACTCCCTTTCATTCCTGCTCTAAACTGTTTAGTAAACTTTTACTCCCTGCCTTCTGCCCCTTGGCTGTATTCTTTCTTCTGCGAGGCAAGAACTGAGTTGCTGCAGACTTGTACAGATCCACCCCTGCTAACAAGACTAGACTGCAGCCTCCAAAGGCAGCCCCCACAGTGGGCAGCTGCTGGCACAGGGGTCTGGGGAATGATGACCTCAGTCACAAATTTGCCTTAGGCTGGATATATCATTTGCACTTAAATATTTATAGAATGGCTGGTAGGTGCCATGACCCAGGGGCAAGGAAAAGCTTGGGTTGCCCCAAAGTTCAGAACCTCCAGAGCAGTTCTGAAGTAGATGGTTCTTTCTCTTAGCATGGTGGCCAGTTCCAAGGGAAGATGCTCTGAATAGGATGGCCTCCTGTATTTGGGAGCTGAGACTGCTTGGGTTTGCTCAGCCAGTTCGCTTGCAGACTGGAAACAGAAGCTGTGTGTGGGACCTCCAGGACAGCCCCAATTTCTGTGCCCATGACCATGTGTTGCATATAGTTCCTTTCTTCTCTGTTATCAGGAGCTCCTTTCTATCTGGCTCGACAGGATAATGTGCCCCATCATGTGGAGCTCAAACGTGTTCCCTGAACGTTTAGTATGCGGTGTGTGCACACACACAACGCATGCCTTAGATACATGACTTGTCTTCGTGAATAGTGAAAGCGTACGTTTTCTTCCCTCAGCTTGCCTTTCCAGAATAACAACAACGTAAGGCCCACATGACTCCCAAATAGGATCTTTGGGGATTCCAATCATCTGATAATTGGCACCAAAGCGATCCTCCCAACTTGAAGTAGGAGGAAATGTGGATTTCTAAACTAGGGCAAACGCTGCTTATGAGAGCATCAATGTGTGTTGTTCCCTGTTCTCTTTGCTTTAAAAAATAAAGAATTGTATTTCTTTTTCTTCAGGCAACTTTGCAGACTATCAAAATACATAGATATCTGAAAACTCTGTCTGCCTATTCCCTGTTAGCCGTCATTTGGAAATAAATTTGATCCTTGGTTACCGCTTGACATAACCTGCAGGTGACCAGCGGGAGGGAAAGCAAAGTCTAAACAGATCCAGTTTGTTGACAGGGATTGAATGATGCAGCAACTGGATTGCATTGAGCCGTTTAAACTTTTTCTTTTTTAAGCTAGAGCTTGAATTAAAAAAATGAAGTAAACTCGAGAAATCCATTCAGCCAGATTAGTATTGAACTCCAGTCAAGACCATCATCTGTGGTCATTAGATCTGGCTGTGGGTAAAAGAAAAAGTAAAATAAAGTCTGGCTCCTGCTTCTCATATCTACACTTACCCAAATCACCTGAGATTAAAAAAAAATCCTTTAACTGGTGTTACAGAGGGGACCTAAGGTGGAAGATGTAAAGCATGAACTACCCACAGTGATGCCTTGACACCATAGAACCAAAAGCTCCAGACCTCTGCTTTGAGGATGGAAACGCGGTTCAGCTGGACTTAACTGTGCTTGGAACCCTGCACTGGACGTGTGTGGTTCCCCTAGGAGGACCACTAGGGAGGCTTACAGAGAGGAGCCACAACAATAGAAGGCAGTGACTGCTGGGCTAATTAATAACGATAACTGTGAAAGGTCATGAGTGGAGAACTGAAGAAAAGAGGAAACTAATATTTAAATGCCTCACAATGTGTGATGCTTAATTCAGAGAGCAAAGTCCAAGTCTGCAAGCGGTAGATTTTGCATTAAATGAACTGAAATTGGACTAGGACTCAGTGGGTATTTCATTTTGCCTTGGTCTTAGGGTAAGTAATTAAAATCAACATCAGGTTGTGCCTGAAAGGTAGAGCAGCTGAGCAACGGCTAATTGTTGTAGCGGCAAAGTTAGCAGAGGATCAAAGAGAATTTCAGAGTTTCTCCCAGAGTAGATATGCATAAAATTCTATCCTCTGGTCCAACAGAATACATACAGGGCACAATTAAATTTAGCTAATTAAATTAAGTATAAATTAACTGATTTTTTGTATTTCTTACACTGTATTAACATTTATCAAGACTTTGACCAAAAAGTAGAGATTTTAAAGCTGGAAGGGACCCAGGTGATTAGCCTATCCCCCATCCTCCATTAAGAGCTTCACCCTCACCATTTCTCATTTCCCTAGACACTTCATTGTCCACACTCTACTTGAATCATCCCAGAGACAGAGAACTCACTATCACTCCCCTCCCCTTTTGAAATGACAGTCGGAAATACGTTGAATTCATAGAAGAGAATGTTAAATTGTCAGATTCAAGAAAGACATTGAAAAATGAAAAAGTTATGAAGAGAGGATTTCAGAATGAGTGCATTCTAGTGATCACACATAGGGTGAACCCCAAAACATCACAATGCGAGAAAGTGGAACACTGCATGGCCTGTGCTCGCGGCATCATTTTGCGGGAAGAAACTGGGAGAAGGGCGATCTCATTCTCATTCTTTGAAGGGTGGCTTTTCTAGCAAGGATTGACTTCCATTTCTTTGCTTCCAGTGAAGAAGGTTGAGCTCATCCCAAAAGGCTAGGATGGATAGAAATGGAATTTCTTTGAGAGCTTACATTGTTGAATGGTTTGGATCATGGCAGTAGTCTCCTAACTCACCTGCCATCAGTTCTGCAAACTCTCTGTTAAATTTTATCCATTCAGCATCTAGAGATTAGATATTATTTTAAAGTATTTTTATAATAAAGGATTACTTTATGAACAATAATGTGCACAGGTCTTACAGTCTTAAGTATCGATTTCAATGAGTTTTGTCAATGGTGTGTGCTCCTGTAGTCGTCCACCCAAGGCATGATGTAGAATACTTTTGCCATGAACCCCCCAACCAAGAAGTTCCCTAGTCTCCTTTCAAGTTGATACCCTTAGTCTAGAAAGGCAAGCACCTTCTGATTCTGTCACTGTAGATGAGTTTAGCTGTGTACTTCGATCTCATATACATGAAAGCACACAGAATGCCTACTTTGGGAGCCGACTTTATTTTTGTGACTCAATCATGGTATTGTGTATTAGCAGTAGTCCTTGCCTTTTTATTGCCAAGAAGCATTTTATGAATATACTTCAATTTGTTTATCTACTCATCTGTTGATGGACATTTATGTTGTTTCCAGTTATGAGCTATTATAAATAAGGCTGTTATGAACACTCTTGTACAAGTCTTTTTGTGGACACAGATTTTCATCTCTCTTCAGTGAATCTCAAGAGGGTAGACTTGCTGAGTTATAGAGGAGTTGTATATTTAACTTTATAGGAAACTGCCAAAAAGTTCTCCAAGGTGCTATTCTACCCTCCTGCCAGCAACATATGAGAGTTTCTGTCACTCTATGTCCTTGCCAACATAGGGCAAGTCACTTTCACTTTGGTCTTACTGGTGAATGTGAAATCATATCTTGCTTTAATCTAGTTTTTCCTAATGACTAATGGGGTTAAGTACCTTTTCATGTGCTTACTAGCCATTTTATGTCTTCTTTTGTGAAGTGCCTGTTAAAGTCTTTTTCCCACTCTTTTAATTGGAGTGCTTGTCTTTTTATTATTGATTTTTTGGAGTCATTTAAACATTCTGGATTTGAATCCTTTGTTAGACAAATGTGTTATGGATATTTTTTTCTTCTCTGTGGTTGTGTGTTCATTTGCCAAATGGGGTCTTTTAAATAGCACATTTTTTTTTTTTTTGATGAATTCCATTTAACCTTCTTTTACATTTCAGTCTATTACATGTTTTGTTATTATTATTTTGAAGTGGAGCAAGGTGGGGGTCAAGCGTTTATTTTCCCCTGGATACAGCTGTCCACTTGTTTGAACAGTATTTGCTTAAAGCACTTTCTTTTCTCCATTGAGTTGACTTGATGCCTTTCTCAAAAATCAATGTGTGGGTTTCTTTCTGAATCTTTCATTCTTTCCACTGATGGATGTATATTCTATTTTTGTGCCAATATCAACTCATCCGAATTACTATAACTTTATGTAACTCTTAAAGCAGAAATTATAAGTCCTGCAACTTTGTTTTTTTAAGATTATTCTATTTTAAATCCTTTGAATTTCCATATAAATTATAACATTCGCTTTTCAATTGATGCAAAAATCCTGATATGATTTTCACTGGGATTGTGTTTAATCTATGAATCAACTTGAGGAGAATAGACATCTTAACAATATTAGTTGATCAGCCTGTGAGCATTCGTTTAGTTTTTATAATTAATTTTTATTATTACAATACAATGTGCAGTTGTGTTGCAGACAATGTTTCAGTCCATGAGGAAGCACATAATCAATGGTGATCTCACAAGAATATAGTACCATATTTTACTGTTACTTTTCTGTGTCTGAGATACGTTCAGATACACAAATACTCACCATTTTGTTACAATCACCTATAGCATTCAGTATAGTTACATGCTTGTAGCCCAGAAGCAATAGGCTCTACAAGATATAGCCTAGGTGTGTTGTAAGCGGAACCATCTGGGTTTGTGTAAGTGTAGTCTATGATGTTTCTGTAAGGACAAAATCATATAATGACCCATTTCTCAGTAGGTATCCTCCTTGTTAAGAGATAAATGACTGTATTATAGTTTTCAGTGATGAGGTCTTACAGATCTTTTGTTAGATTATTCTAGGTATTTCATGTTTTGGGATGCAACTGTAAATATATATGTATATAGATTAAAATGTTCGTTTTCCCATTGTTATTGCTTATATACTGGAAGTACACTTGAGTTTGGTGTATTCATATTCTGTAACCTTTCTAAATTCAATTAAGTCTAGTACTTTTTCTTTGCCGATTCTATTGCATTTTTTACATATACACAATTATGGCTAGAGTAGGGACAGATACACATTGTTTTTCCCAGTGATTATAGCTTCTTTATTTTTTCTTGTCTTACTTCAACAGCTAAGACCTCTAGTACAGTGTTCAATGGAACTGGTGAGAGAAGACGTGCTTGCTGTGTTCCTGATATGAAGAGGAAAGCAGTCCTTTTCCGTAAGTATAAAACCATAAACCTTAGGTTTTTCATAGATGTCCTTTATCAGATTTTGAAATTTCTCTGCTATTCCCATTTTGCTGAAAGTTTTAAAAAATTATTTAAATAATGGATTTTGAATTTTGTCAAGTACATTTTATGCATTTATTGAAATAATCATATGGTTATTCTTAATTTCATTTATGTAGTGAGTTACACCAATTGAGTTTTGAATGTTGAAAACACCAGAATTCCTGGGTTAAGCCCTGCTCAGTTATGATAAATTGTATATATTGCCATATTTGATTTGCTAATACTTTTGCAATTGTACTATGAAGGATATTGGTCTGTAATTTTATTTGTTTGATTTGTCGTGTTTTGCTACTATGGTTATGCTGCCCTAAAACAAGTGGAGGAACTGTTCCTTCTTCCTTTTTCTCCCCTTTAAAGGAGTATATACATTTGGTATTGTTTTCTTTCTCAAACATTGGATAGCATTCACAGTGAAGTCATATGGGATTACATTTAACTGTTGGAAAGTTTTTTATTACAAATTCAAATTCTTTAAAAGATATTGGTCATTTAGATATACTAGTTCTTGTGTCATTTTTGCTGGCTGTGTTTTTCAAAGAATGTTTCCATTTTATCTGACTCATTAAGTTTGTTGATAAAACGTCACTCCTTCTGTTATTCTTTTAATGGCTGTAGAATGTCTGGTAATATTGCCTCTTAAGGTCTTCATATTGGTGATTTATATGTTCTCTTTTTTTCTTGTAAGTCTTAATAGAAGTCTGTGAATTTTATTAATCTTTTCACAGAACCAAACTTTGACCTTTGATTTTCTCTATTGTTTCTTGGTTTTCTATTTCTTTGATTACCACTCATTTTAAAATCACTTGCTTTATTTAACTCCCTTCAGTTAAATGTGTTCTTTTTTCTAGCTAATTAAGTTGAAGGCTCGGTTCACTGATTTTAAACCTTCCATTAAGTATATATATATACACATATATAAAGATATAAGTTACCTCTAGACATCAATTCAGCAGTATCCTAAAATTTTGATATTTCATTATTTGTCTTGTTATTCAGTAGATTTAATTTCAATTTTTCCTTGTCATTTATTCTTTGATATACATTATTTAGAGGCATTTTTAAAAATTTCAAACCCTTGTAAGGTTTTCTAGAAATCATATTGTTTTCTTAGGTTATATCATTTTAATTAGAGAACATACTCTGTGCGTTTCAGTGCTTTGCATTTATAGGGACTTGTTTTTATGGCCCAGCACTGCTCTATCTTGGGAGCTATTCAATGTGTATTTAAATACTTAAGTTGATTGAGAGTGTTGAGCAAATTTTTATAACCTTATAAATTTATTATTTAGTTGTTCTAGTAATTACTGAGAGAGAAGTGGTAAGGCCTCTAACTAATATTGTGGATTTGTCTGTTTCTCTCATTTCCCTGTCAATTTTTACTTAAATTTTCACAATCTCTTTTATTTTTTGCCTAATATCTAGCACTGTTACATCTTCTTTATCAATTAACACTTAACATAATTATGAAATTTCCCTCATTGTCTTTATTAATATCACTTATATAGAATTTTTTTCTGATATTAATGTAATTTTCTTATGTTTATTTTTGCCTAATATATGTTTATCCACACATTTCCTTTTAACCTGTATGTTTATAGTTAAAGAATGTTTCTAATAAATAGCATATAGTTGTATCTTGATTTTTTTCCCTTGAAACTGACAATCTCTACCTTTTACATGTTTAGTCTACTAACTTTCAGTGTCATAGTCAATGGGATTGGATTTCAGTCTATTATTTTGTCATTTAAAAGGATTGTCCCATTTATTCTTTGTTGTTCTCTTCCTTCTTTCCTATCTTCTTTTGGGTTAACTAAATATTTTTGTAGTATTCCATTTAATCTCTTTTTTTTTTTTTTTTTTTAAAGAAAGCAATTCTTTTAACATTTTTTTAGTGGTTGTTCTAGATATCACAATATTTATCTTTAAATTATCAAACACATCTTCAAAGAATAATTTGCCATGTCATGAACAATGTGAATTTTCTTTTTTTCTTTTCTTTTTCTTTTAGACTGAGTCTTACTCTGTCACCAGGCTAGAGTGCAGTGGCATGATGTTGGCTCACTGCAACCTCTGCCTCCCAGGTTCAAGCAATTCTCCTTCCTCCCCTCCCGAGCAGCTGGGATTACAGGCACCTGCCACCATGCCCAGCTAATTTTTGTATTTTTAGTAGAGACAGGGTTTCACCATGTTGGCCAGGCTGGTCTCGATCTCCTGACCTTGTGATCTGCCCATCTCGGCCTCCCAAAGTGCTGGGATTACAGGCGTGAGCCACCGCGCCCAGCAACAATGTGAATGTTTTATAGCTACATACTGCCATTTACTTCTACACTACTCTGTCCTCTTAGTGTTGTGTATTTTACCTCTGTGTATGTTATGGACCTGCAATAGTTTTATTCTGCTTTAAGCAGCTCATGGTGTGGTATCATTTCTCATAATCCTACATGTTAGCATTTTTTTTTAGCAGCACATATGTGTTGGATGTGAATTCTTTCAGCTTTTGTGTACATAAAATAGTCTTTATATTCCTTAATTTTGAAGTATGTTTTAACAGGATAGTATACTGTAGATTAGGAGGTTTTTTTTCTCTTAGCCTTTTAAAAATATTGTTTCATTGTTTTGGGCCACCACAGTTCTTGTTGTGAAGTAGCTTACATTCTTTTTAGTGCTTCACTGTATACAATATCTGTTTTTCCCCCTGTGGATACTTTTAGATGTCTTCTCTGTCTTTGATATTGTCAGTTTGAGTATGTTATTCTTAGTTGCAGGTTTCTTTGTATTTATCCTGTTTGGGGTTTGCTGAGATTCTTGGATCTCTAGACTGATGTCTTTCATCCCTTTTTAGTAATTTCAAACTATGATTACAAATATTTTTCTTCACCATTCTTTATTTCTGGTTTTGGGGGGCTTTAATCACACTTATATTAAATACTTCATATTGACTCACAGTTCTCATTCTCTAACATTTAAAAAAATTGCTCTTTTTGAAATATAAATCATTCTATTACAAAGGCACAGGCATATTACATTCATTGCGGCACCATTCACAATAGCAAAGACATGGAATCAAACGAAATGCCCATCAACGGTACACTGGGTAAAGAAAACACTGTACATATACACTATGGAATACTATGCGGCCATAAAAAAGAATAAGACTGTGTCCTTTGCAGGAACATGGAGGGAGCTGGAGTCCATTTTCCTAAGTGAACTAACATGGGAACAGAAAACCGAAGACTGTAGGTTCTCACTTATAAGTAGGAGTTAAATGGTGAGAACACATGGACACATAGAGGGGAACAACACATACTGCAGCCTATTGAAGGGTGGAGGATGGGAGGAGGGAGAGGATCAGGAAAAATAACTATTGGGTACTTGGCTTAATACCTGGGTGATGAAATAATCTATACCACAAACCCCCATGATACAAGTTTACCTATACAACAAACTTGTACATGTACCCCTGAGCTTAAAATAAAAATTAAATTTAAAAATTGCTTTTTTTCTCTTTGTGTTGCAGATTGAATAACTTCTAATGTCCTCTCTTCAAGTTTCCAAATCCTTCCGATATCCAGTCTATGAAATCAATAAAATATTAATTTTTCATATGGTGTTATTCAGTGATTGCATTTCCAATTGTTATTTAAGGGCTTGAATATTCTGCAAAATTTTTCTACCTATCTACTGGACCTTTAACACATTTTTCATAGTTATATTAAAGTCCTTGTCTGTTAATTCAATGATTAGGTTATCTATGCATTTACTTCTAATGACTGTTTTCTCTCTTGGTAATGAGTCACCTTTTCTTCCTTTTTATGTCTCATAATTTTAATCCTATTCCAGATATTGCCTATATGAAGACAGTAGATACTGAATAAATAGTATTTACCGCTGGAAAGGTGGTGTGCCTCTTCCTTTGTTAGGATATAAGTGTTGGCAGCTGAGTAGATCCGATCTGCCTTAGAGCTGGGTCCAGGCTTTCATAAGGCTCATCCCCATAGGGAATTAATTCATTTAGGCTGGTTTCATTTTTACCTCTCTGGTGGGTCTTTAAAAACTGATTTTGTGGTCCATCTGTCTTGTTCTCATTGTTCACGTGGTATCAACTGTCTCTTGCAACTTTCTGTATTCTTGTGATAACACATTTCTGTTACCTTTGTTGCTATTATGATGTGATGATTTTACCAACTGCAACAACTATTTTAATCAGTGTTAAGTCATTAAGCTGTAACGTAAATCATGGCAGAGTGTGTTGCTCCATGAAAATGGGGATGGGGCTATAAAAACTTGTAGGCTTAGAAGAGAACTGTGCTATTTCTTATTGAACAAAATAATGATTAACGGCAGGGGCTGTTGGAAACCAGCTGGTTTCCATGCCTACTTTAAAAGCAACACTCAACTTTAAGAAGCCATAGACTGGATAAAGAAAATGTGACACATATATATCATGGAATACTATGCAGCCATAAAAAAGAGCAAGGTCATGTCCTTTGCAAAAGCATGGATGGAGATGGAGCCCATTATTCTTAGCAAATGAACACAGGAACAGAAAACTAAATACCGCATATTCTCACTTATAAGTGGGAGCCAAATTATGAGAACACATGGACACTTAGAGGGAAACAACACACACTGGGGCCTTTTAGAGGATGGAGAGTGGGAAGAGAGGATCAGAAAAAAACTAATGGGTACTAGGATTAATACCCAGGTGATTAAATAATCTGTAGAGCAAACCCCATGACACAAGTTTACCTATGTAACAAACCTGCACTTATACCCCTGAACTTAAAATAAAAGTTAAAAAAAATACAAAAAATCTCTAAGAAGCCGTATCTCTCACCCTGCATTCAACCTGAGCAGTCTGAGGGCAGTTGTAAGTCCATATAATAATTCCCAAACAGTACGTAAAATTTTAGTGTAACTGAAGCCCCAGGGAAAAGGGCCTGGGGCCTCCGTGGGGATACTAGGAGAAGCTGATGGGCGATCTTTGCGTATGGTTATTAAATAAGAAGCTGGAATTCCAATGCAAATCATGTGCATTTTATAGGCATGTGACAATAAATTGGGGGTAACAGGAAGCTATAAGGATTAGAGTTTTCTAAGCGGCTCCAAGAGGTAAATAAAATCCATTCAAAAACCATTTATTGAACATCTACTACATTTCAGATTCTGGGTTAGAACACGTTAATATGAGATAATATTTCTTGAACCAACATTTTCCCCAGGAACTTTGCTAAGCATTTTGTGTGCATTATTTCAATTTATCTTTATCATAACCCCATGAGATGGTTACTGCCCTAATGCCTGTTTTATAGGCTTAGAAATGCACAGAGAGTAAATAACTTTCTGAAGCTTCCATGGCTAGTAGCATGTAATGGTGGTATAATCTGACCCTTGGCTAGCTGAAATCACAGTTCTACTTTACAAGTGAAGGAATTGAGGCATTGTCCATGACATCATGCACTTCATGGAAGCAGGTACTATCCATTAGACCATGGACTTCCCATACACAGATGGCATTTGTTTGGTTTTATTTCTCTGTCTCCTGTGTCCAGTATCATATCTATACATTGCGGAGCCTCAATAAATATTTGAATGAAGAAATAGGTTTATTAATGAATGCTAGGTGCTAGGAATAGTAGGATAAGGCAGTCATGCTTCTGCTCCCACTCCAAGCCAAGGTGGGCAAGGTAAGCAAGCAAATGAGCAGATCCCACGGATCACGGAGGATTGATGGAAAGCTGGGCACCGTGTACTGTCCTTGTCACATCCTATTTACTCAACTGTCTCCCGCTTTGGACTCTGAAGTTCTTGATGGTGTGTCTGTATCCACTTATCATTTTGTGCCCATCCTTTTATTTGACAGGGATCAAGATGCTTGACCAGTGGCTGCTGAGTAAGTGCTAAGTGGAGGAAGCAGGGGTGAACTTATTTCACCATGGGAGGAGGTTTCACAAAGGCAGTAACATCTGAGCATAGTGTATTTTAGTATAATTCGAATGGGTCTCCCCTACTGGTAAAGAAGAGTTTTTGTCTAGACTAAGAAATCGGATCGCAAGCACTGGAGGACACAGAGTCTTAAAGAGAATAAGGAAGTATGTCCAAGAGGAGACAAAGTAGGTAGGGGAAGGGAAAAAGGCAGAAAGGAAGAGGAGAAAGAAAGGGAAAGGGAGGAAGAGGAGGAGGAAACAGAGAAAGAGAAAGAGGAGGAGAAAGGAGAGGAGGAGGAGAACTGATGGAGGGAGGGAGAGAGAAAGAGAACTTTGATACAATTGAAACCCCTACACTGGTCATCTCTGAATGCCAATCCTTTGGGCTTCTCAGTTATGAGTTCTTACATCCCCTGTTTTGACCGAGACTGGTTTGAGTTTGGTCCCAATTTAGCAACTGAAAGCATTTTAACTATATATTGATTACTTTCTGTTCAGTGGTTGTATCTTAACCTATTTTTACATCCATTTAAAGTAAAAGTTGGCAAATTGTAACCAATGGGCCGAATCTGGCCCACTGTCTGCTTTTATACAGTCCATGAGCTAAGAATAAGAATAGTCATTGCATTTTAGAATGGTTGAAAGATGAAAGAATATGACATTCGTAAGGCATATGAAATTCAAATGTCAGTGTCTTAAATAAAGTTTTTTGGAACACAGCCAAGCCATTCATTAATGTATCCTCTATAGCTACTTGATTCTCATACACATGAGGCAGAATTGAGAAGCTGAACTGAGACTGGATGGCTCACAAAGCCTAAAATATTCACCATCTGCCCCTTTACAGAAAATGTTTGCCAATCCCTGACCTAAAGAATCTACTGCAGAAAGCATTGGCATTTGGGGGGGCCATTAAGAAGATACCCTTTATTTAGGGATGAGAAGGGGGCAGAAAGCCCCATGTTCATTCTAGAATCGCCCCTTAAAGCTCTGACCTCCCAGTCTCTGCCTCCCTCACCTTTCTTTACCTCCCTTTGTTTGGGCACCAGCATGTTCCAGGCCCTGCGGGGGGCAGTCACGAGTGAAAATTGCACTTGACCGAAGGTCCAGAGACCATTTACACACTGCACAATTCCTGGGGACTCGCCCAACGCCTCTGACTTCCAGGTAGTGAAGTGGGGTACTTAATGACACCCTTTTCCTAGGTTAACCGGGAAGATTAAGTGCATCATGATACATGTCTGTTACATAGAAATAGGCAGCAAATGCTTCCTCTCACTATTATTGTGAGAAACAGTGAGATAAACTTTGGGAAAGCACTTTGTAAATGATAATGCACAGCTGAAGGGAAATAAATATAATGTTATAATAATGGCTACATGTGCAGTTAGGACCTAAATGACTTCAGAGTCACTACATTTCCCCCCCTTCGATTACATAATTTTATATTGCAAACCTAATCGATGCCCTTGAAAATTTAGAATAGTGCAAAAACATAAACAATGAAAAGTAAGACTCCCCTGTCCCTCACACATTCTTCCCAAAGGCAGATGAGGTTATTTTTATACACTTCAGAAATGGTCTCCACATATATCATTAGTGAGTATTTGGGGTGCGTGTATGTATTTCTGTGTATGTGCCTGTACCACCATCTCTGTTTCATATCAATGACCATAACATAACCTGATCTTTACTTGACTGCATTTACTTAAAAAAGTTATTACATTCACCAGGGATATGTTCAAGAATGTCTAAAGCAGTACTGTTTGTAATAGCTAAAAACTAGAGAGAAACTAAATATCTGTCAACATGGGAATGAGTCAGCAAATTGTATATTTATACAATAGAATGTTATCCATTGATAAGAACGAATAAACTACAGCTGTCCCCGACAAAGTGGGCAAATATCACAGACATCATCTTGACTAAAAGAATCCAGAGGTGAAAGTGTAAATGGCCCCAGGACTTAGCTGTGAGGTCACACGTTAGGATAGTGGTCATCCTGTGTAAGAGAAACCCTGGGTGGTTGCCTACAATGTCCTGCTCCCTGGTGTAGCTGTTGGCTGCCCAATGTGTAGACTTTGTGAAAATTCATCATCACATATGGTTTGTGCACATTTCTGTAAGCATGATTTTCTTCCATAAAATTCATGCTAGAAATTTTAAAAAGCATATCTTGGAAATCAATTTGAGAACATATGGGTTTGCCTCCTCTTTCGTAGCTGTAGACACCTTTATTGTACAGACGAATGGCGTTTTCCCTCAGACTCCCACCTTCTCATGCACATTTGTTTCCAGCTATTTGCTGTTGCATGCATTTTCCAAGATATTTTCTAATCACCCTTCTAAACAGAAGCAGGTTGTTATGAGCACAGACAGATGATACCATGGGGCATGGAACCAATTCTGCCCTGCAGATGCCAAGAGGGAGCTCAGCCTGTTCCAGGCCACCACACAGGTGCGTGGAGCCCTGACCCTTCCTGACCCAACAATGGCATCGTGTGGGCAGACATGCTGCCTACACGGACGCATTGCTGCCAATGGGTATTCCCAAGGCATGGGGTTGTTATTTGCATTTTCTCGTTGTCATGAGCACCCAATGTTCTGAATATTAATGAAACCATTTGCAGCCTCCTTTGCAGC